TTGTGTTTGACCCCATCGCAACCATCGTGGAAAACACGTATCCAATGGTTAAAGATTGCATGATGATCTCATATATTTGAAAGATAGGACTATATTACCTCTGTTGAATCCATCAATGAATATATGTCATCTTTGAATATATCGGATGGTAATACTTATTTAAGTTCTGATACCACATGCAAATTCGATGGTGGTGATGATTTCTTGCATGACCTGCACACGCCGGAGTTCTTAAATAGTATAAAATGTTCTGGTGTTCCAAATCATGAATTGCACTTAAAGGTTGAGACTCCTGTCATGTTGTTGAGAAACATTGACCATTCGATTGGACTGTGTAATGGAACACACTTGGGGATAACGAAGTTTAGCACTCACGTGCTTGAATGTAAGATTCTAACAGGATCAAATGCTAGACATAAGGTATTGGTACCAAGACTTTCCCTAACTCCATTTGATCTCAGGATACCCTTCAAGTTCCAGCGTAGACAATTTCTTCTTATGGTTTCTTACGCAATGACAATCAACAAGAGTCAAGGACAGTCGTTATCCCATGTCAGACTTTACTTGAAAAGACTCATGTTTAGTCATGGTCAATTATACATTGTTGTGTCTCGAGTTACTAATCCACAATGATTGAAGATATTAATATGTGAGGAGGATAATGGGGAAAAGAAAACTACTAAAAATGTTTTCTATCGAGAAGTTTTCCACAATTTGTAATACCATACAATATTGTACTTTTACTATCCATTCAATAATAATGTTATTTAATTGTCATTTATTTTTTATGATATATGTATATATTAATATATTTATTAAAATATTTTAATAAATATGTCCCATGCATCGCATGGGTGAGGATACTAGTTTCATGTTTCATAACTTTAAAGAAATCTTAGTCCATATTTATATTGACCATTCCAAAATACTATAAACTAACACACAATTATAGAAATCGACCATATAAACAATTCGTGATGTATGATCCCTGAAAACCCTGTAGAGAGTAATTGTTACTATAATCCATGAAATCTATATATAAATAAAAAGATTTGATTATTTTGAAAATAGTAATTGTTTCTCGCCAAAAAATAAACTTATTACTATTTTGTGAAACTTAAAAGTCAGATTTTATGGAATGAAATCACAGAAATTTTAAATATTGGTTTTGTATGGATGGCAAGTCATTTCTTTTGGCATGAAAATTTTAAATATATACATAGAGATGGATTATTTTGGAATGGAAAATCTGAAATGTTTATTTTTAGTTTTATATGGAAATATTGGTTTCATATGGTTAGGATATTCATTTAGTTACCAAAAGATGTTCAGTATGTTTAAATTTAAAAGATGTTGAGTTCTTCACTATTTTATCATATGATTTTGTTCATATATATTTCCAACCATGATTAAAAAAATGAAAGTATATATTTGTTACATNAAAAAAAAAAACAGAAAATATATTTTATTAAAAATAAATAATTTGATATTTTTTATTTCCCAATTTTTATAATATACCAAAATACATTATAAATGATCAAACGCGGAGAACCAAGTTTTTTTCCACACAATTTAATATGAAGAAAATTACATCATATCAATCCTGTGAAATATCACTAACTCTCTCTCTCTTTCTCTCTCCCGTTGTATATATATATATATATAAGTTTGTATTTACCTGAAATACTAACTAAAATCCAGCAAAAAAATATCAATTTTAACTTTATTAGTAAGTTTTTTGTAAATATTTTTGAAAAGTGGCGACAATTCATTTGAAATTCAAATTAAAAAATCAATGTAATTAATGTACGAAATCATTTTAGTTAAATATTACGGGTATATATTTCCTTTATTAGTTGTATAGTTTAAATTTGGTGTGTAATCTATTGACAAAAACTTGCACCTATTACCTTTATTAATTGCATGGTTTAAATTAGTATATAATATATTGAAAAAAAAATTTTTTATTTAAAATTAAAAATCAAATAAACAATTATTCGTAACTGACGGGTCAATATTAATTTGGACGTAATATATAATCATCAATAGTTTAATAAGTTACTCAACTACTGACCGCGCGTCGCAACGCGGCA